TCATTTGTTCCCTTTAATGCTCTCCCCTCGTGTGATGCAAAGAAACACCTCAATACTCGCTAAGTAACGAGTGGGCTGCAAGCGGTGCCAGCTGTGTCCGCTCCTCTTGGTGCTCACAAGTGCGTACTTCCATGTCTGACCTGGATTGTTCTGCTGATCAATCTAATCCACCTTGGCACGTGAAGAGATGTACACTGTCCCCTCCAGGACAGGGAACATGCCTGCAGTGGTCTGCTAAGGCCTGGGATCTGGCTCCACGGGGTCACTGTAAGGCAGTCAGCGGGAAGCAGTGACACGGCATTTGCAAAGGGGAGAGCGTACTGCCAGGTCATGGGCTTTTGGAAGGACTCTTATCAGGACCGAGGGCTGATGATGAAGCACTCCACAAGAAAATGCCAGGCTGAAATGTCATGCTTTCTCCAAGACTTTTCTGACTGAAACAAATATTCACATGTTTCTCCCATGTATTTTCACGGGTTTGGATCTAATTTCAGGCTGTAAATGAAGTGAGCAGATTTTCCTCAGTGCACAGTTGCCAACAGCTCCTGTGTCTTGTGGGGGTGGCAAAAGATAAATTGGTGCTGAGACCAAACAAGTGGCTGGGTTGTGAACTTGCACAGGCAATGCTTTATTTACCACTTGCTGATTTTTCTTCATGCAAATTACCAGTTCGGTGGTGAACACCTTTCTCTGCACTGCAGTGTGAAGATTTCAGCAGCCCGAGGGGCACAGTCACAGACACAGCTCCTCTGGCCAAGGGTGGCCCACCTGCACTGGTTCTGTAACATTCCTGTCCCCGCTGGCTCCTGGCACTGATTTGCCTCTTGTCCACTGGGGCCCTGACTATTGCCTTCTGCAGCCTGAAAAGGCTGCTCTGGTGTGTGTTGAACAACAGCCATTTTGTGTTCAAATTGTAGTTGCAGTCATGGTACTAATCCAAATATATCTACTATGCAAAGCTGCTTAGCTGCTCCTGGATTGCTTTTTCTTTTAATATGCATCTAGTTTTTGAACAGAAGGTAATTCTTCTGTTTCAAAGAGCTTGTGGGAGAAAAACAAAAAACAACAACAACAACAACAAAATTACTAGATTTCATTAAGGTATTCCTTAAAGGTGTCATCTTCTCTGACTCTTGAAAGAAAAGGACTTTTCAGAGGAAAATGGAAATGCTTATATGCCTAACTAATTAAACAGTTTGCCACATTACAGTGGGTCTATTCCATTTTTGCAATGAAGATGTGGCTTTAGTGCGATTGTTTATACTTAAAGTATGAAATTGAATCTTTTCTCAGATGAAGGCCCTGTTGAATATGGAGATGCAATAAGTATTTTGCCCTTACACTTCAGTAAAGGATAATGATATGGGGAATAGATTTGGCTGGCAGTTTTTGGTTGCTGAAATAATCTGAAGGATAGACTCATTTATTTTTCAAGTGTATTCTGTTGATGATAGGATAAACAGCACGCTAATGAAATGAATTGGCAATGCAGAATTAGAAGCCAGTCAGAACACAGAAGTTGTATGAAGGGAACTACCTACACAGGAGAGAAATAAAACTTGTAAAAATGAGTTTTTGCATATCTAAATGAAATAATCAGAAATGCACTAACTCCAAAGATGTCAGGTTTAATAAATAGTTTAAAACACATGTAATAGCTGACAGCAAATTAGATATGAAGTGGCAAGTTACACAGGGCAAAGCTGTCATTTCAGTTTCAGACACTATATTCAAAAGCATTTTAGAGACAGTTGTTTATTATGGCACTAGTATGATTATGCTTCTGAGCAAAATGTTATGATGGGGACGTTGGGAAAACTGGAGGGACTTTGTAGAATAACAGCATTACTACCGCTCAATGGGAATGACTCATGAGAAAACGATATAAAGGATATAGATCTTAACTGAGTGATGGTTAAGAGGAAATGCTGTTTGCATAGGTGAAAAGACAAATGTAAGGGGCAGGAAAAAGTTAATGAGATGCAGAAATAAAAATTTGAAACCAAGACAAAATAAAGGCTGGATATGGGGAGAAATGGCATGATTCTGAGATGGTTTAGGTCCCTGAGTAGTTTGCCAGGTAACCAACCCCTCGTGATTTCTACAGTGAATTTGCTCAAAGCAATAGAAGATACACTCTTTGATGGGAAATTGGAAGGAATCCCATCAGATTGTCCAGCTTCTCTCTGATTACCCATCAAGGCTAGCTGGGATGCTGCAGCACTTTGCTAGAATTTCTGTCCTCTCTTTAAGAGCCTGCTGGGTACACTGATGAGGCAAAATCTGGGGAGAGGAGGGGGGGTTGCCTGCTGTAGATTACTAATATGATTGGTGTCAAAACCAGGAGGAGAATTTTAGAAGTCTGAGACCCCAGCAGATAGGATTCATTGTAAGGTGCATAAAATTGGAAAACACTGCATTTGGGAACAAGGCAATACTTTCTTTATAAGGCAGCATTTCCTTTTTTTATCAGTACTCAATGATGTCCAGTGAGATGAGGTGGAATATTCTTGCTGTGCCACAGCCAGGGTGGGGAACAAAACAAATGTCATGGACTAGGAGCTTGTTTCCTGTAAGATAAAAAGAGCAGCTAGAATGAAGCCTAGAGCATGGTGGCTGGCTATTCTTAAATAGCTTATGAATCATACGAAGCTCATCTCAGTGTTTCCTAGAAAATTAAGATGTCACTAACATATCATCTGAAATGCCTCTAAATTATAAGTCTGGCAGTCCAAACAGCAGTTAGTGACTGTCAAACAGCATTGAAAATCAGGAGCACACAGCAATTTGACATGAGATTCTGCTAAGAGACTTGACTAGCTACAGCAGCCTTGCCCCTTGTCCAGCAGAGGTGCCCATCCAGCTTGCCATTTTATTTGTTCTTTGCCATCTGATCCTTTTTACTGTGCTAGCACGGTGTTGCTTTTTTTTTTTTTTTTTTTCCCCTT